TGGCTATATGGCCACGATTGCTGACTTTTCTTGGGTAATGGAGGGAGAAAAAGCTCCCACCTCCATGAAAAAATGTGTGATCAAAAGGCCCAAAGCAGAAGCAATATACAATCAGAGACAAAAACCACCACTTTGAAACAAAAAAAAAAACTGTGGCCCACTGGCCAGTTGCCTTACTACACAGGCAGTGTGTGTGCACTGTAGAAGCCTATAGTAGTTGGTGGGGGTGTCCACTCACTCAGGCTCCTCCTCCAGTCACCACCATAGAGGTATGCAGATAGATATTGAGAAGTTAATGGGAGAAAGATTGCTTACTATTTTTGTCTCTGAGGGTCAGTTAGGTATCTGTGTGTGCACAACGTAATTCTTGAAATAGTTGTGTCTTTTTATGTTGGGGTTTTACAGATTGTTCATATGATCTGTCTGCCAGGACAAACCTATTTTTTTTTCCTTGCTGGATAGTCATGAGTAAAGGGTCCTGCACAAGTTAACTTTAGGGCTGGGACCCACAGGCAGAAGTCAAAAGCAGCAGCTAAAGAATTTGTCCTTGGACCGATGGGGCTCTTTCTCCGTGTGCTGTGGGAAATCTGTGGTCTCAATGCTGGATTTTTTTGGGTGTGCACACCCATTCACCTGAAGGCATCCAGGCTGGGCAGAGGCGGCGCTGCAGGGAAGAAGAAGAAAAAATGTGTAGAATCCCCGCACACCTCCTTTTGCAAATGTCACTGCACCGCATTTAGCACTGGTTCACTGTGCTGGCCTGGCTAAAGCCCCACCCTCTGACTTACGCCCAGGTGGGATGGCCGCAGAGGGAGTCCAGTGTCTTGACCGATTCCTAAATGGCAATATTTTCCCTTATACCGTCATTTTTCCATTGGCGGTTGTGGGAAACTGACGCCCTGAACCTTATGCTAGATCCAGAGCTCTGGTGCTATTCCGTGAGAACGGTGAGTCTGGGTTTTCAGGCCCTCCCCCATGGAGCCTGTCCTCCCTGACTCTGCTCTGCCGCCGCCAAACTGGAAGAGCAGGATTCTATTGCTTAGAATCTACTATTTTCCCCCTTCAATGTATTGTCCATTTCTGAAATCTTAGTATTTACCTTCTGGGTTTCTAATTGCAAGTATTGTTTTGTTTTTAAAAATTCCATTTAGAATATATGCACTGAGTTCAACCACATTCCATAGATGTCCATTGACCTGGAGATGAGAGAGATAAGAAGAAGGGCTGGTTGGTCCAAAGTGTGGGGAGACCTGGGGACACCTGAGTCCATGGACAAGGACACAGCCACGGAGGGCCAGAACTGAGAGTGATGTGTCCGGCTGATATGAAATGAGGGGTGACACACAAGAATGCCCAAATCTGTAGACAGTTTCCATTAGACCTAGCTTTGACGACTCAGTTAAAGGAAGATTAAAAAAAAATTTTTTTTAAATAAAGGAAACAAGTATAAATTGCTACAATTTGAGTAACTTTACCTATACTTATAGATGTAGTAGCTCAAAATACCAACTGAGAGGGAAGGAGTTTTCACATCAAGGATTAATCGTATCTCCTCTGCATACAGGGTTGATAGGGATAGACAACTTAGTTGTTGGCTACCTAAAATGGGGGAGGGGGGGCTATAAAGGCATGAAATGACTGGCTTACACATTTTCAAGATGGAGTTTAGTTCCTCAGTGTGCAGGGGAAGGTAGAATCCCCACTGAATATTATTCACCTTGTCTAGATGGGTCTGGTGAAAAGAGATGGGGATAAAAGTCTTATGATTCAATAGTAATTGTTATCATAACTAATTGTGACTGTCACAACTGTAAAAGTAGAAGTCTTATAACAAAAAGAGGGGAATAGTTAATCTTACAGTCCAGGAACAGAGGACCCTAAGGCAATCAAGGGAGAAGAGCACAAGCAGAATGCGGGACCCTATCCAGAGATGCAGTGACACCAGAGATGGAAGCAGAGATGAGGGCATGGAGAAATAGAGCAGCTAAGGACTTTAGACTCATGGAAAGAGAAAGGCTGTATGTTGGCAGCCAGGTGCTGGTGGCCAGGAGGCAGGCTTGTAGAATGTGCCGTTTCATTGTTTAAATGATTATATATTCCTGAGAGTTTTTATGCACATCTCTTCCATGGAAAAAAACAAAAACAGAAGGAATAGAAGAAAAAACTTTTTTTTCCCATTTATTTTTTTCTGTTTGTTCTTGTAGTATCTTCTTGAATTCTTCTAAAGTTTTTTCTGTGTTCTCCTTGCTTTCCTCGATCTATCAGTCCTTTGAGGTACCTAAATATCAGTCTTTTGAATTATTTTTCAGTTAATTCCATTACCTTTTTTTCCTTAAAATGTTTTGGGGGTCTGCATCTTGCTCATTACTTTATGTGAGGTAATACTCACTGTTGTTTCTGGGACATCATGGTGGTTTCACATTTGTATTTAATTGATGATTGTATGTTGATGTGTTCTTAGGCTCTCACCAAGTGTCCCCTGTGGGTGCAGTTAGAGAATGGAAGCATGTGTACTGATCTCCATTCACCATGTGTGAACCTTAGGTAAGGGTGGGTTTGGATAGTGTTGGCTGCTATCTATCATTGATCAGATGGTACAGGAGCCTATATTGGCTCTTGCCCAGTGGATGGAACTTCAGAGGATATGTTTGTGGTTTGGCTATATAGGCACAGCTGCTGTATCCTGTTTGGTGGGAAAATCTTCCCTCCCCCCACTACACACACACCGGGAAGCAAAAACATAGTAAGTTGCCAACCAAAAATGAAATGAAAAAAATAATTAAAAACAGGTAGGGGCTTGGGG